TATACATTATATATGTATATAGATTATCACTATTTAGAAATAAGTTCTTAAACTTTTTTTTTCTTTAAACATAAAACAACAAGTAAAGCAAACAATTATCTCTTTTAGTTATGACCTTTGTACTCGGTTGCTGCTTGACGTAGGTTGGTTTGAGATAATGAGATGGTGGGCATATTTCTCCTTTTTTTTTATTCAGAAGGGATTAGAGGGTCTTGCTGGCTTTCCAAAGTTAGTCAAGAAGCTATGTTCTGAGGACATCTTAATGGAAACAACTTCGCCAAAACACAGCGAACTCCACTTAAATGGCCATGGGGGATATGCCCATTGAGGCTACTCTCTATGCTACTTTGAATTCATCACGAGGAGTTATTGTTGAGAGGGATTTGAAGAACATCCCTGAGTTGGAGATCCTCGCTGGCTCCTCCAGCGAAGGAGTTTCTGCAGTGCCATGTATCTCCACTCGTAAAGAAGGAATTATGGTACTTACTAATGTTCTTATTTTGATGTTTACATCACCACGTCCACCTGCTGCTGTCAAGGCAGGTTATCTGAACCTGCCTGGGATGGCCTTATGTTTCTAATCCTCTTCAGCATGCACAGAAGGCTCAGAAACAGGTGTGGAATATCTTTTACAGGTATCCCACTCTTTCTTACCTCATTGCCTTTCAGTGGGCCTGTGCCCATGCTTGGCAAGTCAGACATCAAACCCAAAAGGAATCTTGGATTAAGTTTACATCTAGCATCTCTTCTACCACCAGTTCCAAAGTCATATGGGAAAAGATTCGGAAGGTCAATGAGCAGTATGCTTTCCATTCCCTTTCCATCTTGCTCTCCAATGGTCAGGAAGATGCTGATGTACAGGTGAGAACTTTGCTTATCTTTCCAGCACTTGTCTTCTCCCCTGCTTTCTTGGCCATCAAGTCTCGGGTAGAGCGATCGCTATTTTCCTTTTGGGCCAATTGTCTCTACAACTATAATCGCCCCTTTACACTGGTGGAAATCCAGCTTGCTCATCATTGGTCGGACCTGATGATGTTCACTATGAGATGCTGCACCATCTTTCTCTTGCCTCTCTTGCTCTTCTTCTGGCTGTTTTTAACCGGATCTGGCAGGAGAACGTTTTTTCCTGATGCTTGGCACCAGGCTATTGTCCTCCCTTTCTCTAAACCTAGGAAGAATCCCAAGATTCCTTCTAATTATTGTTCAATTGCTTTGACTAGCTGTCTCTGTAAAGTCTTAGAGAGAATGGTTAATGCTCGTCTTGTTTGGTTTCTTGAATCAAACAACCTCCTCTTGCTCACAGAGTGTGGGTTCCATTGACAGCGCTCCACCATGGACCACCTGATTCAACTTGAGACCTTGATCAGGGAAGCCTTTCGCAAGAGGGTACATCTTGTTTCTGTTGTTTTTTTTATCTTGAGAAGGCTTATGACACTTTGTGGAAGACTTCCACATTTTGCGAGACTTCCACTCATATGGGTTGCGTGGCCATTTACCCATTTTTATTCAGAACTTTTTACTCAACAGGCAATTCTGAGTCAGTGTGGGTTCGAAACTTTCCCGTTCTTTCTCACAGGAACTTGGAGTTTCTCAGGGCTATGTCTTGAGTTCACACTTTTCACTATCAAGATCAATGTTATCCACTACACAACTCCCTCCTACTGTTGGTATATGTTGACGACTTCCACATCTCATGTAGGTCATCAAATATGAGGTTTATTTAGCAGCTTCAGATTGCCTTCAATTGCTTGTTGAAGTGGGCCACAGCAAACAGTTTTACCTTTTCTTTTTCCAAAACCGTTTGCATGCATTTTTGCCACTAATGGGGTCTACATCTCGATCCTGAGCTCTGTCTCGGTGAAGTTGTTCTTCCCATGGTTCCTGAGGCAAAGTTCTTAGGGGCTTATCTTTGAACATAAGCTAACTTCCATTCCTCACATAAAACAGCTATGTGTCAAGTGTACAAGGGCACTGAACATCCTCCATGTCCTCTCTTCCACCTTTTGGGGAGCGGGTTGATATTCTATGCTCAAGATCTGTCGTGCCCATGTTCGATCCAAACTGGACTATGGGTCTATGGTTCTGCCAGGATCTTAGCCTTGAAGATGCTGGACCCCATTCACCTTCTGGGGCTTTGGCTCTGCACAGGGGCTTTCTGCACTTTTCCAATCCAGAATTTGTATACTGAGTCTTATGAACCTCCTCTTTACCTCTGCCATTTGCAACTTTCTCTGCATTATGCTACCAAGCTTTGATCCTTACTACAGCATCCCACCTGAAATTGTGTCATTCTTCCTTGGTGGGCTGTGCTCTTTCAGAACAGACAGTCTGCAATTCCTACCTTTGGCCTTCGTATCCAGGTGCAACTGGCTGAATTGGGTTTGGCATTGGATGACATTGCTGTCCTCAGTGATCAGCCCATTCCACCATGGCTTATTACCATCCCCAGATGTAACCTTTCTTTGAGTCATCAGAGAAGGTGGATAGTCCTGATTAGAAGTACCATCTTCTTATTGCTGAACATCTTTCAAACCATTCTTCTATTCCCATTTATACAGGTGGTTCAAAATCAGGTAACTCTGTGGGCCCTGCCATGGTTTGTTGTGGCTTGGTGGTTGTTCACAGGATCCCTCTACAGTTTTTGTGTTCATTGCCAAGTTGTATGCCATTTCTCTTACCTTGGATCATGTAGAAGCTATGAAGTACAGTGATTGTACTATATACACTGACTCTCTTAGCTTTCTACTGGCCATAGAATCGCTTAACATTAGTTCTCATCCTGCTGTTTTCGATATTCAACAATGACTGGCCCATTCTATCTTCTGTTTCCATCCAGTTTTTTCTGGATACCTTGCCAAATCGGTATTAGCAGGAATGAGCTTACTGACACTGCAGCTAAATCCATCTGCTTTGGTGCCATCGTGTCCGTGCCTGTCCCATATGTGGACTATGTTTCTGTATTCAAGGTGCAGCTTCACGCCAGTTGGCAGTTGACTTGGGGGTGAGGATTGTCATAACAAGCTTTTCCAGATCAAACCTTCTGTTGCTCTTTGGCTGTCTTGTTTCTGTAAGGATGAGAAGGATGAAGTTGTCTTGGTTCAGCTAAATCTTGATCACAGTTATTTAACTCATCATTTTCTTTTATCTGGTACTGGCCCACCAATGTGTAGCCTTTGTGACACTCTAGTCACAATAGCCCACATTTTACTCTTGTGCTGTCAGTATGACCGTGAGCGGTGGCACCATTTTAGACATATGTTTTCTACAGGTTTACCCCTGACGTTGGATGGTGTCATTGGCAATAGTGACACTGTCCAATTTGACCGAGTTTTTAGCTTTTTGTGGGATTTAGGCCTTTTTAATTCTATTTAAATGTTTTACCTGATTTTAGAACTTTGTTTACTTTTTAACTTGATTTCTTTTTACATTTTATAATATTTTACCTTTGAAATTTTTACCAGTTGTTTGGTGCAGATAGCCCCATTGCTTTGCACCATAAAGTGACAATCAACCAACCAATCAATTGGTTATTCATGTCATATATAGAAGTATATATAAGGGAGCATGGAAAGAGGTGACTGGGGGGGCCCACTGGGGTTGATTTAATGCATGACGATAACAAAAGAGATAAGAGGTTCTTATTTTATATTCTAGCTTGTCAATATCGGTAATTAGAGTTCCTAATTCGTACGAAACTGTAAACTATTTTGACATCACAGACATCTAATTCAAACCAGTGCTACATTCATCGTACCATGGGACACAAAAAATCGATGTTTAACTGGGTTTGTTTGATATTTACTTTTAAATTATGAAATGGATATAGTGTATAATCATAAAATTTGAATTATAATCAACAGTTTGATATCAAACTTATTGACATAAGTTCATGAAATAGTACTTCAATAAAATTTTGAATGTGAGTCAACAAACCTGATGACATGGCATTTGACTCATCACCTGTCTGGAAAGGGTTAAGTGGTAAGTCATACACACTTGATATTTGTGTGACATGGCTACAAGTATTGCTTTGGTTTTGTTTAGGTGATAAGTCATATACATTTGACATTGGTGTGAGATGGCTACAAGTACTTCTTTGGTTTTTTGTAGGTGATATGTCATATACACTTCATGTTGATGTGACATGGCTACAAATACTTATTTGGTTTTGTTTAGATGATAAGTCATATACACTTGATGTTGGTGTGACATGACTACAAAAGCAGTTTTATTGTCGTTTTGTAATATCAAATTGTAACCTCATTTAATTGGTAAAGAGTGTTAAGATTAACATTTTTATTGAACATTTTATGTACAGAATTATTTCTTTAAAACCATATAGGAGCTGCTGTTGTTTTATTGGAATTGATCAATTTGATACCAGATTTTAATGTCAGGTGACAGTTTTCATTTAATTGTTTCATATTTCCGTTTTACATGATACCATCATTCATTCTTAATTTTCATACTTTAAATAACCTCTTAAGATAATACCAACATTTATTGTTAATTTAATTGCATTGATCAAGAATATGGCAGATTATGTTGTTAGTTTTTTGATGAACATCTTATACAAGTTAAAAGTTCTGTTGACATGAAACTCTCTGGCAGTATTAATTCTTCCGTGTTCAAACCTCTGTCAATATGGAACCAACTAATAGTATTGAATCTGTTGGACAAAGTTCTCTTAATAAGAAACCAAGTGTTAGTACTAATTTTGTTGTGTTTAAAGCTGTGTCAACATAAAATGAGCTTGTAGTTTTATTTTTTGTATTTAAACCTTTATCAACAACAAATGAATGGTAGCATTTAATAATCTGTTTTGTTAAGTACTCTCTTAACTAGATACTAGCTGGAAGTGTTAATTCTGTAGCAGAGGCACTACTACTATTTTTGGAGGCACTAGCAGATTCTGTAGTCCCTACCATATTCTACCAGAGGTGTCTGGATTGTTCTAATAACTTCATCCTCTGTAAACAAGTAAAAACATTTTTCTTTGCAATTGTTTTTATGTATGTTAATGAACTAGGCTTACCGTAATTACAAACTCTTGAGTGATTTTTAACCACTTTTACAATGTCATTGTACCTTATCTGTATGACTTGTTTGATTATACACCTTAATTCATTGTTCTTATTAACTCTCTCAACATGGGCTTGGTCAATTTGACCAACCATGTGACCTCTTTGTATTCATTTAAAGTCTTTATAGATTTAGTACTTCTAACTTTGAATATAGTGTTTATATCTTCACAAAATTTGGCAGTCTTTCAGTTAACATTATAAGTCTTTCACATACAAAAAAAATCATATTTTTTAGTGAAGTATTTTTAATAAGCTAAAATAAAGATTTGTCAATGAATATATTGAGTATTTGTTTTGAATAGTCTGTGTGCAAAATAATTTTCATGTTAAGGTTAAAAATACTTTTATTCAACTCAAGAATCTCAGATTTCCTTTGTGTAATCCCTAAAATCTCCTAAATACATTTCAAAAGTTTTTTTTTAAATTAAGTTTTATATTTTAACTTTTTTATTTTCTGTACCGTGTCTTTATATGGGATCAGTCAATTTGACTCACCTCATACCCACCAAAAAAAATTGAAATAAATCTAAATTACCTTTTTTCTTTTGGGAATGACTTCAAATTGTAACATGAAACTACATTCATTTATCCTAAGTAGCTTTAGATTCATAACAGTATACATCTATTTGTAATTAAATTTTGTTGTTTTATTGCCCTTTGAACCATGTCTAACTACTGTTATAAGTTGTAAATCACTCAGGGAATGTGCAGCTTACATTATGCTATCAAATTATATTACCCATGAGCTACTACGAGCTGCTCGCAGGTGTGCTTTGTGAAAATTTTTTATTATATTACTATTTTTATTTATTTTACCTAATTTAATCTTAATTAACCTAAAAAGATCCTTATTTTAACATTTTAATTGCTTTTATAATAATAAATAAAGAATAAACATGAAAAACAAGAAATAAAATATGTACCCAATCTTTTTTTTTTTTTGCTGTCAATTGT